CCAACTATTTGTGTTGTGCTACAAAAACCTAAACAATTGTTACTTGCCACCAAAAATACCCCTAGAAAGTCCTACAAAGAATTTGAAACAAAGAATTGTATAATAAAAGAGACAGGAAACACTTTATAATGTACAGTATTTAAAGCAGCGTAGTCTGTTTACTTCTTGAAATATATCGACAGGGGCTTCTTGGCTGAGCTGGGGGTTGGTGAAGGGGGCGGAGTACACAGGGAAAGCCATACATAAAGGGGCATCCAAAATACGAGACCACATCACTCCAGAGGACAAACCTGCCCAAGTCAGCCCAACGGTAACCAGAAGCCTCCATGTGGCCAAACAGGCCACAGGAGGAGCAGTTAAAGTCAGCCAGTTCCTTGGTAAGGAAGGTCAAATCATGTTACTATCTTTGGGAATTCCTCATTTTGTTGATAAAACCAGTAGTCAATAAATATGAGATGCACTTAATTTACCGTGGATGATTTGGGCAAAAAAACACGTTCTTTACTGTTCTAGTGGATGGACTGTGCACTGTTGCTGGATATGCTGGCCGAGAGCTGGCACCCCATGTGAAGAAACACGGAGGGAAGCTAATCCCAGAGTCTCTGAAGAAAGACAGGGATGGACGCTCCAATATTGACGGTGCCATGGTGGTTGCAGCAAGTGGAGTTCAAGGTGAAGTGAATCATTCAACCCAGAAATTATGCTATTGTTTGCTGTTGTTGGTCACATACACTTACTTTACTCACTGTTTATTTATGTTCTGTCAGACTCTTTCCTTCCAAAGCAACTAGAATTATTGTTTCATTGACGTTATTGATCAGACAGTTCAGACCCTAGAGAAAATAAAGCAAGCCAAGTGATTTATTCGGAAAAAAAATTTAAATACCGAGAGTAAATGACAATCATTGAAATGATAAATACCAAGACTAAGGTTGCAAACATACATTTATTACAAAAGTTAAATGCTGCCAGTGCTCCAGTAAATGTGCTTATCACATTACACTACCATTCAAAAGTTTTTGAACGAAGCCTCTATACTTTTGTCAGGTTTTGCAACGATGTGGACGGGGTTGGAGGTTGCAGCAAAGAACATTGCAAAGAGTGTTGCTGCAGAGACGGTTACCACGGTAAAACATAAGTAAGTACAGTAACTCCACAAGGTTCTCAGATCATTTCACCTGCATTTAAGTTGATCGTACCAATGTTTTAACTTTCTGCATTTGCAGTTGCTCACCAGTAACTTTGATCAGAAAAATAAACTGCTCTCACACTAGTTTCTTCCATGTATTTGTTTACAGATTTAGGGGTCTGGGGAACATTTCAGACACCCCAATTGAAAACAAGTAGATTTTTTTTCCCCTGCACCCTGTAAAATGGCCTTAATTAATGGTCCGGAGCATGGCTGAAGCTTATGGATGTGTCTGAATCAGTCAGCTCTTGCACGCAATGCTAATGATCTATTGGACATGATAAAATCACGTCCATTGGCATCCTGTGTTGCTTTGCACACTGATCCATAGCTCAGTGATGGAATGAATATCTGTTTCTAACAGCAAAAGTAATTCATCTCATTTTTCTTAACTTTTGAACCTTTGAATTATGACTTTCATTATGCTGTTGGATCAGCAGAACGTTTTACCGGGTTGGATCGGATGGCAAACATAATCACAATTTGACCAAGATATACAGTACAGTATACAGTATAAACACTACTGTTCATAAGTTTATGGTCAGTGAGTTTTTTTTTTAAATAAATTAATACTTAAATTTATCAAAAGGGACAGTAAAGACATAATTTATATTTCAAATAAATGCTCTTTTTGATCAAAGAATCCTGGAAAAAAGTATCACTGTTTTCACCAAAATATGAACTGTTTTCAACATTGATAATAATAAGAAGTCTTTAACCACCACCTTTCTGAAGGATCATGTGACACTGAAGACTAAATTTTTAGTATCATTACTCCAAAGGAATACATTGCATTTTAAAAGAATTTTAAATAATATTTTAATAATATTTCACAATATTAATGCATGTCATTTTGTTCAAATAAACACTGCTTTGGTGAATATAAAATCTTACTGACCTCAAACTTTTGAACAATGTGTAAATCCTCTTATACTGTACTAATAAGTTTAAATACCATTCTATGTTTTAATATTTTCAATAATTATCCAATATTTAAAAATGGGAAATAATTGGTGCTATAGCTCATATAAGATCATATTCAGTTTGTTCGTTTTATATCTTTTTTTGTTAACAACCATCTTTCCCTTTTCTAACTGTGCTTAAAAGTAATGGCCATTTTAATTTAGACCTTTGCACTTACAACATAAACATTTGTATGCCATCTGTAGGATTAATTTGACATTTTTTAAATCAGATAATTTTTCTCTAGAGAAATGACTGAATCCCTGCATGTATGTTTAACCGCTTTGCTCTGCATTGGGTACTCTTCATCTCCTAAAGCTTATTTTTCAATCACCTCTTTCATCACCCCATCCTCTCTTTTACTTAATCTGGGTTGTCTATAATCAAGGTATGGGGCGGAAGCGGGCCAGGCCACAGACCATGCTGTCAACTCAGCCATCAATGTGGGCGTCACCGCTTTCAATATCGACAACCTGGGGATCAAGGCAATGGTCAAGAAGACCGGCAAAGAGACTGCCCATGCCATTCTGGCTGACTATAAAGTCAAAGAGCCTGACAGTCAAGTTGAGAAACATAAAGACCAAAAGTAGAGTTTTAGATTCAAACCTCTCGTTTCGGGTGTCCATTTTTAAGAGCAAACCAAAAGGCTTTGCTTTCAAAAAAAGATTGAAGAAGTGAATGGATCGTTGTCCATGTTATTTGTATGTGACTGACTGAATTCCAAAGGCCTCACTGCAGTAAATACAGTTAATTGTGCTGTCATGTTTACTATTTTCACTGGTTAAACTGGTAAATTCAAGTCAAAAATTCCCTTTACAAGTTGACTGACTGATTGCCCTGCCAATATTCCTGACCCTGCCTTACACTTCACCAGCATTGTAAACTCTAAATATCACATATCCATTGTTTAGATGGATCATATTTGCGTAAACGTCAGTAGTTTTGTGTGGTTTGTGTCTTATAAATGGACCCTTAAAACAAAGTGCGAGCCAAAGGTGGAATTGATGATTTTCCCATAGAGCCTTAACAAATATAATATTCTTATATTTAAGAAGAAATCTATATCTAAGCTTTAATATATATATTCTAAGAATGCTTTATGGTAGTTGTTTTTTTTTTTATCTTCAGACCTGTTTGCTCTTGGTACTTTCAGGGTTTTTTATGTTTTAAAATATTAAAACGCACTTTAACCCTTACTGGAACAGACACTGATATTTGGAAAATAAGTGCAATAAAAATATAACTGCATATGGAGTTGGATTAGGTCTGATATTAGAAATCTGATTAATTAAAAGCCAGAGAAATCAGACTTTTTGGAAAATGTGTAAAATCTAGTAGTTTAAATTATATATTTTAATAACATTTTAAGTTAAAGAGGCTTATATTTAATATAAACAGCAACATGACTGTGGTGTTCTCCCACTGTAGATACTGACCACTCATCAAACATCTCTATGCAGTTGTCGTTTTTTTTTTCTCATTAAAAAATGGCTGCACTTTTTCCTTTTAATCTTTTAACTTGACTATAGAAAAATATATAAATGTTACCTTGAACTGTAATGACATCTCACTATAAGCATCAACACTATGTGTATGTCTTCTCAAAATAGTTGTCCCATTTCAATGTACTTACAGCATAAATAATGTGTAAGCATTATTTACGTTTAACCACAAGTCTAGATTTGCTCAATGACTGAATCTGACATAATAAATTAAACATTTAAAACCTATTTTTTTTTTGTATGTACTCTAATTTAAACACAATGTGATGTTAAATTTCTTTTTATTGGAATAATTGCTTTGAATTGATTCATGGACCTGCTGTATAGGCAAGACTCTTGATGAGGTCAACCTATAGCTTGATCAAAGTGCCCCGAAACAGCTTTTATTACATACAAAACATTGTTTTCTCTATGTATAAATATTTCCTTTTGGCCTCCGGTTCACATCTAAACTGCATATATAATCTAGTTTGTATCCAGTGAAATCCATTATTGCTGCTTTTTTTTTTTTTTTTTTTTTCAGATTAATTAATTTTTAAGTAAATACTGCCATCTAGTGTTACATTTTGTAAATTGTACCAGCTCACTAGAAGAAAAGTTGCATTATGTTGTTATAATGACTGATACAAGATAGCTGCATATGTAGCAAATGAACTTTCTTTACCCATATTTAGATGGAACTCCAGCAAATGTCACGTGTAGGTTTTGACTTGATGTTAGCTTCTACATATATTTAAAATGGTGTTGTTTTTAGACATCTCATTAATCATTACTATCATTTTTTAATGTTGTGAATGTCAGTTGATGTCCTGGAATGAAATGGAAATCTAGCCGTCTTAGTTTGAGGTGAATTTCATCCACTTTTAAAGAAACGTATACAAAAATAAACCAATAAAATTAGACTTAAATTAAAAAGTAGTATACTTGTATATCCTAAAATTGTAAATATTTATGCTAAACGTAATTGTAGCTATACAAATAGTAAAATGGTATTAAATTCCAAAATAATTATTAATTTAATAATTAATATTAATTATATAACCTGCAGTAGGGTTAAACTTTAAATACAAAAAAAATAACAAATATGCAACAATATCCAACTCATGACCAGGCGTCTCTTGTATGCTGTTATGAAAAATAACTGGTTCTAGCCTATAACGTTCATATACGATTCCCATTGGTGCAATAGGCTAAATGATCTCCCTTAAGCGTACAATAGTGGGTGTTCACTATTGATAGTTAACATGCTATCATAGCTCATTTATTTAACTATATAAGACCGTTTGAATAGAGCTTACCATTGGAGCGTCTCTGCCGGACAGCTCCCCACCCACGAGGACCCGCATTTAAGCTGTCTAGGTAGGGTTTTGAGACACAGCCCTGCTCGCTCGTATTCATTCATTGAGGGATTTATTTCTCCACGAATACGACAAAGACTGCCAGTCTCTCTGCAATGTATTAGAGGGAAAGACACCGGCTGCAGCCCATCCCATCACCAGCATCTCGAAGAGATGTCAAGCTATTAGATGTGTGCTTTGGACTGTGCTCATCGGATAGCTACACGCGCACAAGTAAGATGCATATATATTTTTTTGTCTTTTAATCAAGATACACCATATCAGACATGGCACAGTTGGATTTATTAGTGCATTTATATCGCTTTTTAATTGATAAATCGCGAATTCTTCATTGTGCCTATCCTTTGGGCGTGTTTAAATAACTTGCAATAGTATGAATTATTAAAAGATCGTGTTTTAATACTTTAATGTTTATTGTTAAAACACAAATAGATCATTTTTATATTTTTTTTAAATTTTATTATTTAATTGTATTAAATAGGCCTATTTTGTCAGTTTGATAAGCAAACGGAAATGTAGGCTATATTTCCAGCAGCTTATTTAGCCTTTATATAGCCTAAAATGCATTGCATTTTATTAATAAGTATGCAAACAAAAGAAGTGGGGGGAAAAAAAACGTTAATGAATGCAAATAAATAACAATAATTCAATATGACTCATCTGCTCACATTTTTCCACACAATTTTCCATAGCCACCCTACAGTCCCAGGTGTTGACATGGAGCTGGAGCATTTCGACGAACGGGACAAAGCACAAAGATACAGCCGCGCTGGTTCACGGGCGAACGGCCTCCCGAGCCCCACGCACAGCGCCCACTGCAGCCTGTACCGAACCCGCACCTTACAGACTCTGAGCTCCGAGAAGAAAGCCAAGAAAGTCCGCTTCTACCGCAATGGAGACCGGTACTTTAAAGGGATTGTGTACGCTATCTCCAACGACAGATTCAGGTCTTTCGACGCTCTGCTCGCAGACCTCACCCGCTCCTTATCAGATAATGTAAATCTGCCTCAGGGGGTCCGGACCATTTATGCCATTGACGGGTCGAAAATTACCAGCATGGAGCAGCTGGTGGAAGGTGAGACTGGGTGTCAGTAACCTGGGCAGGTTTAGGGACATCAGTAGGCTATACATTTCGTTTCTTTTTCAGTTTGAGGCACATGGTGCTGTTCATCACGTGTGTCTTGATTTAGATTGTTTGGGTTTTAAATGCCCATTCTCCATTTGAGGACATCATTAACCTATTTTACTGTCACCTCACCTCCTTTTTTGAACATAGATCTAAACTTAAATGGTTTATAAGTCATGAATCATACATAATGTCTCTCATCAGATTATTGCAGAATCAGCTTCTAAAAATTAAAGTGTAAAAAAGGTATAAAAACATTAGCTTACTGCAAGTCAAATGTAGCCTACTGAACTTAAAATTTGATGCAAAATATGGGTTTTTCAGTTCTATGAATTTTTCAGTTCTTTTCATATGCTCCTCTGACCCAATCAAAACCCATTAAGCACATAACATATGCGATGTGTGCAACAATCAGATAATCTACTATGTGAAAAGTCATTGTATTATTTACTTGTTGTGTTTATATCCAGGGTCTCTGACTCCGCAAACAGAGCATGGGTTGTAGTCCTGAACAAGGATCAAACTTGTATTGTTATTGTCTGTGAGCGGATACCATAGTGCCCTGTGATGTAAACCAATCACATTAAAATCCTCATCAATATTTAACAGCTTCTTCATCTCCATACCACTCCCGACCCTTTCTCTCAATGTTGACCAATAGATCAAGCCTGAGAGCTGAAATCATTAAATATAAGTTGGTCCTTGAATTGAGTGTTAAATGACTCTGATTTGATTATAGCAGTGGTATTTCTGGTGTTTTCTGTGGGCCACCCAACCATTCATTCATTAATTTATTCTACACCTGGCAGCAATGAGAATGAATGTAAATGAGGGAGTTGTAGGATATTTTAGTCTCTGCTGGGTACTTAACCTTCACTGTGTGACCTCTCCGTCATTATGGACTACTTTTTAGGAGCTTAAATGTCTATTGACTGTCTTAACTCACATGTATGAAATTTCTTCTGTCCTCATGTTACTAAACATAGGATAGTCTCATTAAGGGCATAGTTTACCCAATAATAGAATTATGGGTTACACTTTATTTGAAGGTGATGTATTACATTGTACACAAATAAGTATGGACTAATATTAATAAACTGCATGTACTTACTATAGAGTTACTGTTAGGGTTTGGTTTAAGAATATGGTTAACCAAAGCAGAAGAAAGAAATACATATAAAAGTGGTTCATACAAGTTTTCCAAAGCCAGACAAAAGCTGTTTATGATGAACAAAGATTTAAGTCAATACTCTTAAAGGTCCCATGAAATTTTCACTTTCTGGGGTTTTTTAACATTATATGAGTTCCCCTAGCCTGTATATTACCCCCAGTGGCTAGAAATTTCAATCGGTGTAGCTTTGTCTATCTTTCTCTGCCTTTGAGAAAATGGAAGCTCAGACGGGCTAATCTTGAATCTTCTCCATATGACGTCATACGGAGGAAAGGTAATCTCCCCTTGCTTTGCCCGTCCAGAGACTGTGGCTCACCTATGAGAAAATGAGCTAGGAAGTACGAACACGGTTTGAGTTTTTCCTCGAGAGATATCATGGCTTGCAAACGAGCGAAGCATGGCAGTTGATCAGTGTTCGGATGTACTAATGAACACTAAAGTATTTTTTAGTTTCTTCATCCGAGCCTCTCGAATGAAGAAACAATGGGTTAATTGTATTTTCTCTGGAAATGCGGTGACACAACTTTCCAAAGTTTTGTACGGTCCAAACATTTCATCGACGATGTTTCCTCAACTTGGGCCAATACAGAGCTGGCCTCGATGAACGTCTGAAAATAAATCGACTGATCTACCAAGCAACAATTTTCTCACGCTGAAGTGTCAACCCGGTCGGTCAAATGCCTGAAAGATGAGTTTATCTATAGATCTACCTGTTGAGCCACTCGTGATCGACTAGTTATACCGTAAATTAGTTAAAATATCCAGTAATCTTGAGCGAGCGTGCATGCGAGACACATATTGTACTCCATACCATGGCAGAGGCACCACAGGCTAGGAAAAATGCCTTTTATTTTTAAATTATGACTTTTTTTGATCTAAAAAACATACTAATATTATAAGGGCAACCCAGGAAACATTATAAAATAATAAAATAACCCCACGTCATGGGTCCTTTAAAAAATAAAGGTTCTTTATTGGCGTTTACAGTCCAATGAAGAACCTTTCCATCCATGGAACATTCCCTTACAGTAAAGTTTGTTTATTTCTTAAACACTAAGATGGTTCTTTTAATAGTTATTTTAAGAAAGGTTCTTTGGGGAACCAAATAGGGTTCTTTATGGCATCACTGTGAAAACCACCTTTTGAAACCTTTATGTTTTTAAGTTTTAATGAGAGAAATTCAATTTCTGATTCATGAATTAAAAAAAAGTAAAAAAAAAATGTTCTGTGAATCTTGTTGAAACGGTTCAGAAAACCAACCTGCATGATTCCTTTAGAAATCTGATTATATTCTCACTGATTATTTCTGTGATTTTATTTTGTATCACAGGGGAGAGCTATGTGTGTGGATCAATTGAGCCTTACAAGAAGTTGGAATACACTAAGAATGTCAACCCCAACTGGTCGGTCAACGCCAAGACCGTTGGATCAGCACGTGTGCCCTCCTCTCTGGCTAGCGCCAAGAGTGGGTCTTTAGAAATCAAAGATAACAAGGATTTCATCCGGCCCAAACTGGTGACCATAATCCGCAGCGGGGTGAAGCCTCGGAAGGCCGTGCGCATCCTTCTCAACAAGAAGACGGCCCACTCGTTTGAACAGGTTCTCACAGATATCACAGATGCCATCAAACTGGACTCTGGAGTGGTCAAGAGGCTTTATTCGGTGGATGGTAAACTGGTAGGTACAGAGGTCTTTTAAGTTGATAATTCAGCTTTTGTATTGGATGCATGTAGCAGTAATGACACTATTGTTTGGTTGAAAGTACTATTTGAATAGATCAGTGGATGCACTATATAAGCTTTATTTGTCAGAAGCCAGATCAGGAGATGCTTGTGGTTCAGAAATGCAGCTTTAATTTAATTCATTCAGCTTTAAATAAAGCAAAGTTAGTCTCATGAGTCTAACCTTGGTTACTCAAACAAGATTTTTGTGTGTGTCCTGGTTTTCTTAAAGGTAAATGCGTCATCATCTCAAAGAGGTCACTCTGATCTACTCATAAACTGCCATTCGGGCCAATTGTAAAGTGGTGTGCTTACTCTTTCCCTCTTCAGTGCCCTGCTTTTTCCTTTATATATTTGGTGAAAACAGTTGCTAGAGCTTTCTGTTTGTGTTAGTAATAGTTGGTGGTTTTGAGACTAATTTGTTATGTTAAATGCTGGGACTACTTTCAAACATTATTCCAAACAAACATGGAGAACTGTAGATGAGATGCTCTCTGCTTTAAAGTGTGGTGTGGTGTGAAGAATACTTTTTTGTTGTAATTTTAAGTTTGTGTAATTTTATGATTATCTAGATACCATCATAGTAATCATTAATGTTTTGAATTAGCTTTTATTGTTAGATTTTCAGGTTTTTTTTTTGTTTGTTTGTTTTTTTTTTAGTAATTTTCTTATTAAGACTAATACATTTTACTAGGGATGAACTGTTTGGTATGGAGGCTTGTTTCCACCATGGAATAAAACAAAAGTAATTGTGACTTTTTTTCTATTTTCTCTTTGAATTGCAAGTTTATATCTTGCAATTTGCAGTTATCTCAAATTTGAATTTTTTTGTGAAAATTTGAATTTATATTATATGCATTTTAATTTATATTACGCGATTCTCAGTTAGAATTAGAGGGAAAAAATGTGAGAGATAAACTCGCAATTATGAGGAGAAAAAAATAATTACAAAAAATTTAAAATTGTAAAAAATTTTAAAGTTTCATTTAAAAAGTTGCAAATAGCTTCACTTTTATTACCTTTGCAAAAAAAAAAAAAAAAAAATCTGTGGCTAAAACAAGCTTCTATAAATTGAAGCAACGTGTGGTTAAACGTTCCCTAGAATGTTTTTAATTATTTTATGTTTCCTGGGTTGCCCTTATAGTGTTAGTAAGTTTTTTTTAGATCAAAAATAGTCATAATTTAGAAATAAAAGGCATTTTTCCTAGCCTGATTTTAGCCTCTGATTTGAACGCTCAGTTTGAAGGGGCGTGTCTGCTGTGTGTAACCGGCCTCTCCTGTGATTGGCTGACATGCTTGCATATGAAATAGCTATGTATTACATGTGAAACTCTCTCGAATACTTTTACTACAGCTATTATACCTTTTTACTATTACAGCTAACGAGATTAACAAATCGTGAGATGTTTTTGAAGTATTTAGGTCTATTCCCATCACATAAAATGTTGCCGTGATGAGCATTGAGCAAGCATAGGACAGTCTGTCGATCGCGAGGATGAAGAGATTATCATTGCAAAGCAGTTTCTGCACTCTCTCTAATGCTTTCACCAATGCAGACACGATGATGACACAGTAAGAGCTTCGTTCTGCAGTGTAACGTGCGTCATTGAATTCATAACGAATTTGGCAAGTGTGGAAAGATTGTTCTTTGATCGCTTTCTTTATATAATTGATTTTTTCTGTATATAATTTATATATTTTCTGTACTTAAGATTATTTTCATCCTACTAAAAGAAACGATGTGAAGTTGATATTTTAGTCACTGGCTTGACTTACTGATGCATACAGTATTGAACGATTTTGAGTGAAAGATTAACGACTCCAGCACTTGGCCCAAGTTGAAGAAACAACCCAATAACCCATTGTTTCTTCAGAGGCTCGGATGAAGGAACTAAAAAATACTTTTGTGTTCATGTGTACATCCAAACACTGAGCGACTGCCATGCTTCGGCTGCGCAGTTCCACCTTTCATTGAACATGGGCTGGCATGTGCAAATGTTTGGAGTCATACTGTTGCGTCACAGTCGGTGTTATGTGGAGATTCGCCTATTTTTCAGGGGTATTTTTCAAAAATGAGATTTAAGTAAGAAGGAGAAAACAATGGTGTTTGAGACTCACTGTATGTCATGTCCATGTACTGAACTCTTGTTATTTAAGAATGCCAAAATAAATTCAATTTCACATTCTATGGCACCTTTAAATGTTTTACTTCTGGGCACAAGAGTCAAAGTTCTCTTCTGACCTCTGATCCCGCAGCTTCACAAGCTCATATATTAAACCACTAAGCCACCATATTATGGTGCTTTCAGTATATTTACTCATTTAATTGTTGCGGTTATCATGCTGAGATATGAATTTCCCTGGATCTTTTGTGTTTAATGTTGCTTGAATAAGAGCAAAAGAGATCTGATAGGGAGAGAAAGGTAAATACTGTGGTGAAGAAGATCTGACAGAGCAAGGTAAAGGCTGATAAAGTGATAAGCTGTCTCCTGAGGGCCTTAAACACGATGGCCTTCAGTGACATTATTTCCTTCTGTTTAAAGCCACCGCAGCAAATACAGAGACACTGGTGATGCACTACTCATCTCAAACTTGCACTGTCCTGTTAAATCGATGAATTGCTTCTAACATAAAATACACACACACACATACACGTAACATTTTGTCTAAGATGCGATTAATCACAATCAATTGATTTGACAGCACTCACACACACACACACACACACTTATTCAAGTGATATATTACGTATATAGGCCATTAAAATATATATCATTTACCTAAACATCCTGAAATCAAAATTTTAGGTGGAATATTTTGCAAACAGTATGGAATATCCCCCAATTTTCCACATCCCAAGTGTGTCTCTCCCCTCTCTGTAATTTCTCTCTGTTCGGTTTCTATGGCAATCTGGTTGCTGGGGGTGGTTGCTTAGGAACAGCCTCTGTGGCAGGAGGGGTGCAGTGGTGATGGTATACAAGCCTGGGTTGGGATGATGGATGCTCAGGATTTACAATGAAACGGGCATCTCTCACAAGGCATTGATTATGCAAAGCATTAATTAGGCAAAATTGGATTTAGAATGCTATTTAATATTTGTTTTATTTCTACATCATTCAAAACATTTCATGTTAGTGTTTAGAAGGAAGTGCAATTTGTAATTCACAGTGAACCAACTCAAGAAAGATTGCCTTTAGATATTTCATGGAGCGGAAATTTAGAAGATTCACTGTGGCGAGCAGGACGAGACCGAGGGCCGTGAGAGAGGTGGAGTGATATCTGATGAGCGACACACCGGTCTCAATCTCCACTTTTGTCGTTCCTCCTTTTATGCTTCCGCTCCTCCGTGAGCGATACGAGATATAGGTATTGCTCATCAGTATTCACGCCACCGGCCTCGTCCCGCTCTCCCACGGCCCTCTGCCTCTTAGTGTGAAAGCACTTAGTGAGATGGGCATTTCACCATGAATTGTTCTCTTATAAACAATACCTGAAATAAAAATGTGGCTTTTACATGGCAATTACTTCCTGCCCTATCTTCTGAGCGACTGATGCAAGCTTTGAGATGTGTTAGAGTGTTATTATTGGTTTGTTGATCTGTTGACAAGCATTTATGAGGAATGCTTCCTGATGAGCAAGCTATCACACTTTGCATTTGGTGAAAGTGCTCCAGATGGAGATTTCTGATAAAAGTTGAATGCTCAGCCTGACAGAATCTATATGTGAACTAAAAGATAGCATTTAATTAAAGTATATACTTATTTTATTATCTCCGTACTTTTTATCCAAAGCAATTATGGTGTATGGAAATAGATCTAGATGGTGCAGGCTGATAGGTCCTTAACTCAATCTTATTGCAATCATATCATTCTCTAAAGAGCACAGCTGATTGGTTCTTGCTGCATCAGTAGCCAATGAGTTCACTGCTCGGCATTCAAATACTTAGCCAGCGTTTTCTATTGACCAAACATGTTAACATTACCATGCCAAATAATCTGAGTTGTCATGACAGAAATAATAAATACAAACAAACATACTCTCACCTAAAGGATTCTTAGGAACACCTGTTCAATTTCTCATTGATGCAATTATTTGATCAACCAATCACATGGCAGTTGCTTCAATGCATTTTAGGGGTGTGGTCCTGGTCAAGACAAACACCTGAACTCCAAACTGAATGTCAGAATGGGAAGGAATGGTGACATTGCTTACACATAGACTTATGTCACCACTAATCTGCCAACAATAAAGAAACATAAGTTTCTTTCATACTTAGCACAGTGAAGTGATCCCTGGTTATAATCCACCATTCTTTTGAAGCCTTTTGTGATGATGCCACTGGCATCTTTATGTAAGATTATTCTTATCAAGTGAGACAGCCCGAGGGCAGACAGACAGGCATTTCCCCTTTAATTCCCCTGGGTGGCATGTGTCTCCTGTCGCCTTTGCCATAAATGAAGGCTGAGAGGACAATGATGTGATTTCCACAGGAGGTCATGCTCATGAGGGCTGAACAGTGGCTGTGTAGGATTAGAGGATTTTTTTTTCTGCTTGTGTCAGACTCTTGCGGGGTTGAATGAAGCATTTGCCTACAGGATGTCCCTCTCGTGAAGAGCACTTGGCAGAGCTGTGTCAGTAGAATCAGTATAGTGATTTTTTTTTTTTTTTTCTGGATTTCATGAAATCTTTTCTGGATATTTTTTTTTAATGTATTTTGTATTATGTGATATATTTACATAAAATTGTAGTAAACAAAAGCATGTCTTAAATCAATACAATTTTAGTAATTTGATAAAAGTTTTTAGGACACATTTTTAGGACTATTTGAAATCAGTTTAATTTTTTAATTTTAATTTATTTCTTCCAAATTCTGCTAATTTTATCATAATGTCATGTTTTCTGGTTATTTTTTTTTTCTGATTCCATTTTTAAGCTTCAGTTCAATTTAAATAATCA